GGTGCCCGTGGCTCTCCTGTTGGAATGCGGGGCCGGGTCAGGCGCCCGGGGGCCGTTCAGTCGGCTTTCCCGGTGCGGATTTCGGTTTAGCTAGAAGAGGTGGGACCTCCAGGAGGACCCAGGGCGGTTGTCATGGGAACAACCGGACCACACCTACCTCCCGCCGAGCTTTGAAAGCGACCTGGACCTGCGAGCCCCGCACCGCGGGGGAACCCCGCTCTCCGAGGGTGGGGATCTCTTAAAGCGGCTGCGGCACCTTGCCTGGTGGTTCATTGGACTGATTTCACAGGCGGCATTGACTCGGTGGGAAATACCAAGTTCCTGGCTTGTTAGAAGTCCCTTGATTGTTATTTTTTGGAGGCACTTCACACTCAAATTTCAAACGAAATGGTTGCAGTAATACGATTTATTAAGAAGCCCTTATCAGGTACTTGGTTAGGCCTTTTGTAGGCATTATTGCATTTAATCCTCGGAACAGTCTAATGAGGTAGGCGGTAGGTGTTATCCCCACTTTACAGGTAAGCAAACCGAGCCTCTGAAAAATTAAGTCATTTGCCCCAGGTTGGCTGAGAACCACACGGCAACCTTTACTACTTTATGTTGCTTCATGCTATTTCATCCGACCACTAGAGTCAGAGTGTCAACATTTTTCTCTTAATTCTGTGTGCAAACTTTCTTTGCTTTTAACCTGTGGAATTTATGGAGAGATCCTTTTTCTTTTAATCCTCATTCTAGATGTTTACTAATTTTAGAGAGAGGAGAATGGGGGCGGGATGGGGGATGGAAGAGAAATATCGATGTGAGAGAGAAACCCAGGACCTGGGAATGTGCTCTGACCAGGAATAGAATCTGTATCCTTTCTTGTACAGGAGGAGGCTCCAACCCACCCAGCCACCCGGCCAGTGGAAGGAATGGAAAGATTCAGTAGTTGGTTCCCTCCTCTCACCATTTTTATTAAGTAGGTATAGAAGAACATGCTTATTAAAGTTGCTAATAGACTAGCCAACTTTGTTTAGTTTTTAGATTTTTTTTTCAGCTTGCCACACAAGTAATGCATGCTCTTTGTGTGAAGTCATTTAAGCTAAAGAGGAGACAATAAAAACCACCCAGAATCCCAGTACTGGGTGACTGTCAGTGTATTAGTGTGTTTTATGACAGAATCAGATTCTTAAAAATTTTTAACTGGAAATAGGAACTGAAATTAACATATGTTTTAATGGAGCTAAAGTGCTGCACTCAGGTAAAAAAAAAAAAAAATACCAGTTGGGAAAATACAGAATAGGTAGGGGTAGAGGGCAAGAGAAAGGAAGGAACCTAAATCTTTTAGCTGTGTGCAATCTTTTTTAAAAAAATACATTTTATTGATTTTTTACAGAGAGGAAGGGAGAGGGACAGAGAGTTAGAAACATCGATGGGAGAGAAACATCAGCTGCCTCCTGCACACCCCCTACTGGAGATGTGCCCGCAACCAAGGTACATGCCCTTGACCAGAATCGAACCTGGGACCTTTCGGTCCACAGGCCGACGCTCTATCCACTGAGCCAAACCGGTTAGGGCTACCTGTGTGCAATCTTAGTAAAGTCGTGAATCTATGAATTCTTCCCTTGAGTAAAAAACAACAACACGGTAATGTACAAGTCCTGTCACACCCTCTGCCAGGACAAAAGTAGGGCACTAATGTGGCTCCAGGAAGATAGAAAGGCAATGTTTACTAGGTGGTGGGTGGTGAAGAGTATCCGTTCTTTCTCCAGACTCTGGTCTTTGACCATATATTACTAATATGTAATCTTTCATCTTTGAACAGAATTTTCATCTGACCTTACTACCCCATTTTACAGACAAACTTATTTTG